TCCCCCCCCTTTTTAAGCGGAGTTTGTTTCCTGTCAGATTAGGGAGTTAAATTGGCTTATGGGGAGGCCCAAGAAGTGACAGATTTGGTGCAAGATAAGCCTCTAGGAGCAGGAAAAAGCCCTTGAGGTCAGCCGGAGCAATGGCGAGTTGTCTTGTGGGTGCCTGGCCTTCAAATTCTGTGTTAGTGCAGCAGAGCTACGCGTTGCTCTCAGAGGGGCTGTTGTTCAGTGTAGTGAATTTTTTGTTTATTTTAACATTCTGCCTGAAAAAAATACATGATCTTCACAAACCTCGTGGACAGCAGAAGTCCTTGCAGCAGGACTTAAGCGTCACGCAACTGATCTTATTTTGCAGTGCTTCCCCTAACATTTGCCATGTACAACAGTTTAATTCTGATTTTGACCTAACAGAGGTAAGAGCACTAGTGTAGAACCAGTGTAAATTGTTTTATTTCTGAGTCCTCTTACTCTGTATTCTGACTTTACTCAAAGATTGCTGGCTTTTGGCAGAACTGTACGAGGTTGTTTTGGAGATAATTTCTTACAATCTTTAGTGCAGTTGGCTTCAGGATATGATTTCCTTCATGTCTGGATTTAATTGTAGATATTTTTGGAGGGAAAACTGTTTTCGTACTTTGGGAAACCCAGCATACTGGTGGCATCTGGTCATTGTACTGAGCAATCAATCAATCACTAGATAAAAAGGGGCAGAAATGAGAGATACAGAAAACAAGCGATCTAAGCAGAATGCCACCAAATAACTTCCCCTCACCCCCCTAAAGAATTTAATGTCTGTGACAGCAGTTGTTCACAGCAGAGTTGTTGTGTGGAGGCACATACTGAGACCCTGTTCTCCCTTCCCTCCCCACACATTAATAAAAGTGATGCACACGTATCGGAGGCGATCGGGCCTCTGTAATGAGCCTTAATTCCAAACTTCCTTTCTTCTGTAGAGCCCGGTGAGAGCTTTCTTTTGTAGAGCCCCTGATACTGCCCAGGAAATGGAACATTTCTTAGGGACCATCTTGCTGATACAGTTTGTATTTGTTATGTTTTGATTTTTGTTTCATAGTAGGAAATGCTTTCCAAGAACTTGTGATCATGGATTTTTCCACTTATTTTTTTGTAGTTGCTAATACTCTTAGGAAATTGTCAGCATTTTGGACCAAGCTGTTGCTTGTGACAGAGACGTGTGAGACTTTATGTTATAGGGTAAAATACAACGAAATAATGGGATGTCTATTAAAAAAAATAGAAATGGCACTGTCAAGTTGAAAAAAGGAAAAAAGCTCTAGTCTGAAATCACTGTATTGACTGCTGGTAAAAAGAAGAGCAAAGTCTCTGACAGCTGAAAGAGAGAGAAAGGAAAAGCATGTTGCTTTTAAGTTTTTCCATTTGTTCATTGGCGGTGTGCCCATGCACCCCATTCAGGGCTCTAGAAATGGTTCACTGACTTGAAACTCTGGCTGCTTTTAATTGTGTGGGTTTTATTTGTTTAAGTAATGCAAGGAAAATACTGAGCTAGGTCTCTCAACATTAAATTAACAACTTTACAGACATTTTTTGTCCAACTCTTCAGACCAGTGAAGAGGGATTCAGGTTTTAGATTTGTTTTGCTGGTTTCCAAACGCCATTTTTTCACTACAGCTTTGAATTGTTACTGCACCCTCAGATAATCTCACCATGAGCTGGCTGACAGCATAGTAGTATACGTTTACACAGTAAGTCAGATGGCACCAAATCATTCTATAACATTGAAAAGCTGTTGAGGTGTATTCAAAGAGAGTACTGTGCAAGTTGTTTGAAGTGGTTTTTTCAACATTTTCTGTTGTTAAAAGTGCTTGAAAAAACAAACATGCAAAAAAAATGTGCACTTGCATAATACGTGATTTATGAAAGTGTAATTGTTCCATTACTTTGGTTTTTAAATGTGTTTTAAAAATCTCTCCTGTAAATATAGTGCTTTGTTTGGAAATAAAAGATCTGTTGCTAAAAGTGAAATGAGAAAATTAAAAACATTTTAGAGTATTAATAATGCCCTGGTTTAGGTTGTGTTTTAAATAAGTACTTCTTTCGTTTGAAGTTAAGTAGAAGATGTTATGTGCGTATCAGATGTCAGCCTTTCGGTGTTTGTTTTATAACAGTGAATCTTAGAAAGGAAAAATGCTTAAGTCTTGCTGAGATTTTACTATGTGTTCATTAAGTTGTAATTAAACAAAAAGACAAACGCATCCATACCATGTTTGGTGTTACTGAGAAATGAGGGCTTTTGTTTATCTGCTTGAGGTTCCCCTTGTGATTAGCACCTATCTGTGTTGTCAAGATTGCCTAGTTTTGGAACATTTAACTATATGTTTTAGTTTGGGATGAAATACGTATTGTTCAGTTCTTTCTTTTTAATAAGATTTTCCCTAATGGCTGCTGAAGACTGAAGAGGTGTGGATGGATTCATGCCACAGGCAGAACCTGTTGTTCCAGCTGATGAGTGATGGTGTCTTCTCTGCCTGTATTCTGAACTCATGTTCCTTTATTGTGACAAAGATCCCCTTATTGCTATGTAGACAGTTCAAAGTGGAGGGCTTGCTTGAAATAATATTGTCTTCCTGGGTGGTTTGTTTCATTGGTTTATGTAGAATTACTGTCTTCCAGTTGTCTTAGTGAGAAAATTTGTGTATTTCCTTTGTCATACCTTGTATTTTCATTGCAAAAAACAGCCAAGCTTATGATCTAGGGACCAGATATTATATATGTCTTCCTTCATGAGTGTTCTCCGCTGCTCCGTACTGCACACATCACACGAACCGCCCCCCCTTAAATAGTGCTCAACATCTCACCTAGAAAGTCAACTACTTGTGTCATGCTTCACACTGTTACAGCATTTGGTGGAAGAGCCATGTGTACTAGAGCTGCAGAACTGGATAAGCAAAACCAGCCTTCATCCTAAGCAGTGGAGCTGCGTTCTTGCTTGCTTTTGGCTGCTGGAAAAATTACAAGCAACTGAGTCCCTCTGTCACACTGGCATTGGTAGTGTCTAGCTGCATTACAAATGGTTGCTGCCAGGCAGGCTGTGAGAACTGAGCTGCTCTGGCACGTGGGGTTTTTGGTAGCAAAGGTGCATGTGCTTTCACATGGTTTCATTAAAATAAGTATTCCCAATTGCTTTATAATTTTTAACTTAGTCTGTTAGTGCTGTGGGAGATGGACTTTGCAGTGGTGTCCCTCTTTAGAAAGACAGGGAGAAGTTGCGTGACACACGTCTCTGGAGGTAACTCTGCTGCAGAGCCAGGAATAGAAATCCCGTTTCCCAGTCCCACCGGGTGTGATGCAGCTCAGGATTACGGTATGTGAATCACAGAAACATCTAGGTCGGAAGGGACCTCTTGAGATTGTCCGGTTCAACCTTTTGCTGAAAGCAGGGCCTTGGATTAGGTTATTCAGTGCCCTGTTAAGCTGAGGCTGAGGTATTTCCAGCTAAGGGAACTACACAACTTCTCTGTGTAATTCTCCTCCTAGTGCGCAGCTTCCCCGTATGTCCAGATGGAGTTTCCCCTGAAGCAGCTCGGTCCTGCTGCCTCCAGTCCTGTTCTCCATGCAACAATGTGAAGAGACCAGCTCCCTTTTTTGTCTATGAACTATGAACCTGTAGGTGTCAGTTCTTGTGCTCTGCTAAAATAGCGTCTTGGTGCTGCAAACCTCCCATACCCGTAACGTGAATACAGGGAGCCAATATCAGGGATGGCCATCTGATTTGAAGACATTCCCTAGTTGCGTTTGCGGGGTAGTAGATGTGACTTTCAGAGCCAGTGTCGCTTGGCTCTTTTTGACGTGTGACTGAGTGGGGTGGCACCTGCAGTGAAGATTCCCTTCTTGACTCCACAGTTTGACCAAGTGAATGCCGGAGAACGGAGTAAGAATCGGTCAGGATACGTTTTTCTCTTTGCTATGAAGAGTTCATGAGCAAAGGAGGAAAAAATGTTTCATAACTGTCCTGCAAAAACTACAAATATTTGGAAATTGACAGATTTTGTAATATGCTCTGTGAGTCCAACTGATCTCATCCATGTAATGTGTAACACCTAAAATAAATGTTCAGTGCAACCAGTGTCTATCATTTTATCTTTCCCCCCCCAAAAAAATTTTCTCACTTAACTTGATGATCATTTTATTTAAGAGTTTGATTCATCAGATTTGTCCTGGGGTGTAGACTTACTATTGTACATAAGTTATCAGGAACTGAGATGAAAATTTTTATTGCATCAAAATCATTGGTGAGCTCCTGTTGACTTCAGGTTGTGCAAGGTTTTGCTGCTACAGTGTAATATTAAAAGATTTATCAGTATTTATTTCACTTGCCCTGATGATAATAATTTCCTTTTCTGCGAATGAAAAAAACATCTGTACCTATATCATGCTGACTAGGTGAGATTCTTAGGGTAGTGAACAGAAATTTAGCAGTTTACTAGGGGTATTTGAGTTGCACATTTTAGTGGACTTTGTTCAGGGTGCCTTCCTCCTGCCTCTTGTGCTCATTGTATCTTTGAGTCATTTTCAGAGCAGCAGAGCCATGTCCTAGATATAAGGAATATGAATTACGATAATTTTGATCATAAACAGATTAGCTCTGAAGTGAACATTTGTTCTCTTTCCATTTTGTCAAAAAAGCCTTTTCAGTTCCCAATGCCTGTTAGACGGGGGTTTTAAGAATACGGCATTTTCTCTGCTTCTTATGTCTATAGCATTCATCACAGAAAAGGAAAATATTATTTCAGTTTTGTTGATACTGAAAATAGGTTCTTGTTACTTGTTTAGTGTTGAATAGTCTTTTCAGTGTGTCCAGGACTATAATTTGTAGTATCGTCTGCTATAGCTTGCGCAGAGGAAACTGTTATTCAACCTGTGTGTATGCTAGGATAGTAGACAGGATGATTTGTCCTGTTGATTATGAATGTAAGTATTGTTCTTAAGGCAATGGTAACCAAGAGTATTTTTCCTATTTACAGAGCAAGCTTTACATGGAAGGATTTAGAAGCCTAAAAGAAGGAGAACCAGTGGAATTTACTTTTAAGAAATCTTCCAAAGGCCTTGAATCAATACGGGTAACAGGCCCTGGTGGGAGCCCCTGTTTAGGAAGTGAAAGACGACCCAAAGGGAAGACAGTACAAAAAAGAAAACCAAAGGGAGATAGGTAATTACCTTACTTTGCTATTATCCCCCTTTTTTTTCTCTGCAAGTTTTTCTTGAGATTATGTTTTGAGCATTTATTCACTTGTGAAAGGAAACCCTTCTGTGTAAATTTTACGTGTACCCTAGTAATTTGATTTAACTTACTAAGCTGTGTCTATACAACTACATAAATCACCCACTTCATTGGTTTTACTTGAGAAGGTTTTATTGAATTAGAGGGAGCCTTCAAAGGAATGTAATATTGCTTGGAAAATATTGCTGTTAGACTGAGAAGAGAGGTCAGTCTGAATACAGGTGAAATAACATCATGTTTAGGTTAGAATTGTGCATGCTAAAGAGTCTATTGTGTGCAGTGGGGTTTTAAACTGTGCATCGGTAGTTTTATACAGAAGAAAGTGTAGGTGGTGCTGTCAGGGTTGAGATGTACATGGTTTGATTAATTGTATTTTTACTCAGTGAACAGAGTATCAGGTGTTTCCAGGACTTTTAAAGACGGGTGAAGAACTGTTGTAATAGTATTTTACAAATTCCATGTTAGTTTCAAGCGCTGCACTTCTTTATGCACAAGTGCCACAGTCTCACTTGCCCTGTTTCACTTTACTTTCTGCCTCTGATGGCTTGAAGAAGTTCTGTAATCCTCTTCATTACGAAGCCACCTGTACCTAGTTCCTTAAGGACAGCCTTCCTGCCCCAGAGTTCTTGTATTTAGGTGAATCTCCCTTTTTTCCTCATGGTCTTGCCCAGCCCAGTAGCTCTAATGACTGAGATCAAGGGGAATATATAGTTTGTGAAGGATGCTAGCAAGAACACCAGACAGCCAAGTTTTGCCTGCAGTATTTGGTGTATGGCATGACTGAAAAGTGTCTCTCTTCCATTGCAAATTCTGAAGCAAAGAGTAGCTTGGGAAGGAGAGGATCACCTGGAAAGGCAGTGAAGCCCAGCCTCGAGAAACAGAGCATCAGAAGCCTTTGCTGGCTACAGATGAACTCCACTTGTCCCCACCTCTGTTAAAAGGCTTCTTTTTTTTTTTTCCTCTTTTTTTTTCTTTTTTTTTCTTTAATTAAGGACTGGAGACAACATGATAGTTGTCCCTCTTTCACCTTCTTTGTAAAAGCTAAAGGCCATGAACAAAATTTATTGCTGCTGTTAACAGATCAGAGTCCATAACCACAACAAGGAGAGACTTTGTAAGCCAGACAAAGCTTTCTTTTTGATTGCTTACCATATCTGGCCATTCAGAGTTATGTTGCATGCAATGGCTCTGAAAAATCTTTTTTCTTTTTTTTTTCTCCCCCCCTTCCCCAAGCTAGGCTTACTATATAATTCTTACTGAAACCATTGGTTTTCCATGAACTGCAATTACTAATCTGTTTAGGGTATTCGCAATACCATTGTTATTGATGTTTCATACTACGGCAGCAAATAAAGGCCACAGTCATGCAGTCATGGTACTGTTGTCCTGGGGTTTGCACATGTATGTGAAGGAAGGCAGTCCTTGCTTCAAAATCCTTGAAATTTAAATGGACAGGTTGTAAGTAGATCAGGAAAAATTCCTGTTGGAGACAGGGATTTGAACAAATGTAGATATCTATAGTGCACAGTGTAGTCAATGCAGAGGAAGCAGTACTTTCAGAGTGCAGTTCATCTCATCCTAGGGAAGCATCTAAAATATTAGGGATGAATTTGCCTAGTGGCTGTTTCTCTTCACAGACTACAAAGGGAGACTAGCTCCAGTGCTATAGATACTTCCCTTACAAGTCTCTCACGTTAGGTGAGATGAATCCTACTTTCAGTGATGTTTTGTAATAGCTAAAGCATAGAAAAAATGAACAGGTATACTCTAAGAAA